CACAACGAGAATATCATATTTTAATTATCTTTAATTTTATTTCTATTTAGTCTTACTCTTATTTTTAAGTTATAAAATGTTCTCTGTGGTCTACTTGATTAATTTTTTCAATTTATATTGAATCCATGCTTATAAGGAATACAGTATATTGAATTCTCATCTAAAAATTTTGACCTGTTTCCTCCTTGAGATCTGAATTGAAGAACACATCATACAGATGGATGGAAGGAAATCCATCCATCCATCCAGTTTCCCCTACCATGCAGTCCTTCTCACCATTCATCCTTCCATCCAGTTCCCTCACCATACATCTCTCCATCCAGTTTCCTCACCATACATCCCTCCATCCAGTTCCCTCACCATCCATCCATACAGTCCCCTCATCATCCATCCATACAGTCCCTCACCATCCATTCACCAGTCTCCCCTTCCCCCACCATCTATCCTATTGTCCTCCCAAATAAAATATTGAAGTGCGATCATCATTAGGTGGGAGACGCTGATAAACAGAAGCATGCCTCACCCATGCCACCAGGAACCACGCACTCAGTCGACCCATAAGTGTATCAACAAAATCGCCAAGCGAGGCAAAGCTTATATACCGAGTCGAATGTTACAAAAAAACCGGCATTGAATGTAATGAAACGCCATTTTCTGGGTGAGTCCCGGAGGCTCCCCGGAGTTATCCAGGCTGAATGGATATGTATAACTTTCTGGTATCAGTCAATGCATGGAGTTCTTGCCTATCAGGGACAACGAGCCAGAACCTGGCCCCCTCTAGAGAGGCACAAGGAGCAATGGCCTATAGAGACCCCCTTATGATTGGGAGCATTCTATGTCTGCCATCGACCGGGACAGGCACCCAGAAAGGTAAGTGCCACAAAACAAACCCCTATTCTGGTTAACAATGAAAATCGTCAAACAAGTGGACAAAATTCCCTAAAAGAAAAAGAGCAAACAAGCATGACTTCGCACGAGCTATCACACGAGCTGCGCCGCATTTCTGCGCAGCTCCCTCCTCCCCAGGAGGGAAAAAGAGGAGCCCCAGACCCTCGCACCGGCGATCTTCACTCCAGTTCTGAGGCTGGATATAAAAAATGAGAAAAAACGCTGATCGGAGGGAGGGAGGGTTGCCGGGGAGCCTCCGAGACCCACCTAGAAAATGGTGTTTCATTGCATTCAACACTGGATTTTTTGGGGGAGCCCCTACGGCTCCCTGGAGCTACTTCACCAAAGACAAAGCAAGAAAGAAGGAGGACCTACCCAGGAGACGGTCGGTGATCCACTCCTCAACTCGAAATCAAGACAACGGGTTGCAAGTGCCGACCCAAAGCGACACAAGCCCGACTGGGCCCAGGAACGTTCAAGAGGTAGCGTTCAGCCAGGACCCTGGTCGACCGCCAAAAACTCCACGTCTGAATCTCAGCCCAAGACATACAGGTATTGCCAAAGACAGCAGCACCGGCACCGAACCCGACACCTGTGGCCGACCCCGATGAATGGAATCGCGAGCCCTGGCATGGCCCCCCTGGGAAGGAACTCCCCAGTTCCCCCTGGAGAACCAACAATTCAGACATAGGGCGGCAAGTGGAAGAAGCCGCCTGAATATAATGCTCAACCACAGAAACCTCAAAATGCAGAGGACAAAAAGGGGAAGACAAACTAAGAACCAGGGTCCAAGCGGATTCCAAAGAGGAAGCGAGAACAGCCTGTTGATACGCGAAACACGTAGCGAAAAACCGCAGCAACGCCTCTCGCAGGATTGGCGCAAACAGCTTCAAAAGAGCAGATGACACTCGAGCAGCCGAGACTAAGGTGCCAGAACCAGGAACGGCCCCAAGAGCCTCCACATCCTCCACAAGCCAATCCGAAGACAGATCCAGGATGAAAAAGAAACATAGGAATGAAGCCAAAAAGCCACGAGCGTTTAAGTCGTCAGCCACAACCGCAGCCGACAGGGAAGGAACCTGCACATTTAGCTGAACCGCATCACTATCCCGCAAAAGGGCAGGAGCAAAAAGGCACTCATTAAGATACACAAAATTGCCCCCCCTTCCCTACGTAAACCTGGACTACTGTCAACGCCTCTCACCACTCAAACGTTCGGGTCCGACAGAACGAGTTCCAAGCATCCAATGAAAACAAGGGACAGTCTGCTAGCCAGGACGACCCCGGAACCTCATAACGCACCCAGTAATGACACAACGATGCAAACCTGAATGAAGGAGGATCCATTATAGAGGCATACTCCGGGTCATGCATGAGGTAAGCCACAATGCCCGACTGCACCTCAGGTGGCGAGATGCGTGAAGCCGAAAAATTCGGGAAAGATGGAACCAAAGAATCCGCAGGGATACGGAACTGAACCCGGGGAGGAGCAGAACCCAAGTCCAAATCATACGCAGAGGGAGGAAAAGAAAACCCCACTCCTTGCATCAGTAGGCCCTGCTCAGAAGGACGGAAAATCCAGGCGGGATCTAACGGAGCCCAATGCCCCCAATTCAGCTCCTCCCCAACCCCGGGAACCTCCATTCCAAGCCCCAGGACCGAGCGTCCTCCAAAGCCCCGGCCTTACAAGGAAAAAGCTGGAGCAACCAAAAGAGCTGGAAGAGATGGGGCCCACTGGTCAGAGCCCGGAGCAACGGCAGGAGGAACAGACTCGAATGCCTCAACAGCGACCTCGGATGGACACCCCCCCGAAACTGCCAGAGTCTCAGAAACATTTAAACCCTGCCCTGGCCCCGAAGTCCTCAGATGCTTAGGGGCCGGAAGCAGGGGTGGGGGGGGACTGAATGAACCACCGAAGGGGAAGAACGAGAGGGCGCAGACGGAACCAAGGCGGAAGCGACCAACACCCCCCAAGTCCAAGTACCGATAAGCAAAGTGGGGCAGCCTCGGGGCATCCGGGGAAGCGACAACCTGAGCGCATTGCAATAATCTAAACCTATCCTGCAACGCACGTGCTGCCTGCACCCGAAGAAAATCATCATCAGCCTGGGTGAATTGAGTCACAAACAAGCAACAAAGCTCGCAGGACTCAGGGTCGAATGTGTCACCGACCCAACAGGCAGCATGACTGAGGCAAAAACAATGAGTGTCGCCCTGAGACAAGGGGACAGAGCAACCCTCAAACTCGCACAAAGCGAGAGGGGAAGCAGGGGGTTTCCTCCATCGGACCCCAAGTGCCCTCGCAGTTTTCCCAGGGCCCCCTAGACTGGGTCTGCTCAGGGTTATCCAAGGCAGGGAACTACTAACCTGTGCCCCAAACTACCAAGAAAACTGCTAAAAGCTGAACTCAGGGGACGTGTCCACTCATGAGGGAGAAGCAGGGGGTGCCAACACACAAAATGATCCTATAAGGGGGGAGGGAGAACACAAGGCAGATCCTCCCCACCAAGCAAAAACAAAAGTAAAAGAAAAACCTCGCAAGAGGTCAACGTACCCAAAGAGAACAGAGCCGGCCACTGTTAAAAGTGTAAACTAGCTACGCAGTACCTTGTGCCCCACCAGTGCAATAACTACCACTTACCCCAAGGCAAACATGGGTGGAAACCCCCCAAACACTCGGGGCGGCCAAACGCCAAGCAGCAGAAGGCCAACAGAGGTAGACCCAAGGTGACTTGTGGAAGTCCTTGGGGCACCTCGCCCTAGGGGCTTGAGGCCCCTAGGGCGGTACTTACAGGGCACTCAGGGAAGGTAATCCTAAGCACATGCGGCCCAAGTACCTGAGACTAATACTCCCAGCTTGCATGATCACTGTAAAAGCAGCACTGAAAATAATTAACAGCATTGAGAGAAGACTGGAGCTGGAGCCACATTACTATGCACGATCCCAGCAGCCAAAAAACTGGGGTGAGGATCGCCGGCGCGAGATTCTGGGGCTCCCCCTTCCCTCTCCCGGAGAGGGGGGAACTGCACAGACATGCGGCACGGCTTGTGTGACGTCATGCTTATTTGCTTGTTTTTCTTTTGGGTAGTTCTGTCCACTCGTTTGACGATTTTCGTTGTTAACCAGAATAGGGGTTTGTTTTATGGCACTTACCTTTCTGGGTGCCTGTCCTGGTCGATGGCAGATATAGAATGCTCCAAATCACATGTGCATTTCTATAGGCCATTGCTCCTCGTACCTCTGCGAGGGGCATCAGGTTCTGGTTTGTGGTCCTTGGTAGGCCTAGAACTCCACCCACATCGACTGATGTAAAATAGTTAGGGTATCCATTTCAGCCATGGATAGCTCCGGGGAGTCGTAGGGGCTTCCCTCAGAAAAATGAACACGTAAACCAAACAATTTGTAAAGAGGGGCATTCATCAACTGAGGTCCCATTGTACATTCTTCCTGGTAATCTGTAGTCCCCTTTAAATAACAAGTATTTGAAAGTATTTAGTAATTCTCTAGGGTTCCATAAACAAACATTACCCATTCCTTCAGCAATGTATGGGTTGGTTTCAAGACAATCATGCAATAGATAATATTCTGTCATTTAGAACATGATCCAGTCAATCAGGTCTGTGCTAAATGCAAACTGACAAATCAAAACAAAATATAAGTGACATTTTCTGTGCCAACAAACTACCTGGTATGAACATTTACCAGGATAGTTTCATCATGCTTACAGTATCACAATGTGTCCAAAATTATGATATGCTAAGCCAAGTGTTCACAAGCGATTAAAAAGTTATTAAAAAGTTGAGCTTAAACTCTCTATTGAAGCTTATTGAGTGTCTGCCCATTGTGGCTGTTGAGTGAAGTAACGAAATGTAGTAGTAATTTTGAGACCACGATTTCAATATCTTTTCCAACACAGTGCAGCATGCCAGTCACTAAGTTTGATTTGGAAATACTTCCATAGGCTCATGCTCATAATTTCAGGCACCTAACCCCAATTTAATTTTTTTTATTCAGCAGGCTATTAACAACTATAGAAAAGCATTAAGAGTGTTCTTAACCCAAGTATCAAGATTGGAACATCTATGCAGCCTAGCACAGTATCTGCTGTTACCTCTGATTGAGATCGTTTTTTACGATTTTCTAGGAAAGTTTTTTCACTTAAAACAGCCTCTGAAGATCCACTTCCCAGTTCCTCAGTTGAGGAACTTTCTTCACCCACATCCTATAAAGTTTAAAATTAATGATTTTTTAATATACCCTAAACTATTTTATAAATGCTACAGTCAACAGCAAAAACTCAGCTGTGAATGTAATGAAACACCAATTTTTGGGTGAGACTCAATGAGTCCCTGAACCTACTATCTCTGATGCAGGTGCCCATTTACTAGGTGCCATCAATCATGGAGTTCTACAGAACCAGGGCCCCCCATCCCTCATCAAGTTGCAGATAGTCGTGGCATTTATGTATTAAGTTTTTAATTTATTCCACTACTGAGAAAATCACCCAAATAGTCAGCGAGTCGAGAAAAATCCTTGCTGGCCACAACCGAAACATGCAGCTTCGAGAATGGGCATAGAATTCCCCAAACAGCATAGACAAACAACAGAAAATATCGTGAAACTAGCACCACTCATTCATCCCCCCCTTCCCCCCCCCCCCTCCTTTGGGGGAAGGAAGGAGGCAGCCAGGGGGTCAGCCAGCTGCTCTACCCTCAGGACCAGGAGCAACAGCCAGACTAGGGGGGTAAGAGATACAGAAACCCCTACCTTGACCAGTTCAGCCAAAAGGCATCCACAGCATGGGTGTCGCAATCAGGGAATAGTGCTGCATGTAGGAGAAGATGCAGGGACCATGTCATTGCAAAGATATCCATGTCCTGATGCCCAAACATCTCAAAAAACCACAGGAAAGCAGCAGCATCAATGGTCCATTCCATGGAGAAAGGAAGGAGTAGACAGACCATCTGTAAGGATGTTGGACACTCACAACATGAACGGCATGGAGAGCTAACCTCAAGAACTCAGAAGTAGAGTCACTGAAGAGATCATCTTCAAAGAAGCAGGGATTGTAGCAAACCTCTCCTGATTGAAACAATGAACCATAAAGGAACAGTCCAAATGGAGCCAGACCACAAAGCCAAAGGTATCCGAACTCTCTACGGTGCATGCCACATGGCCTTGGTCACTTGTATAAACTTGTGGTCAATTATTCATTTACGGGAATTAGTGACCAGGATTGTGATAATAGCAAGAGTGTGGTGATAATTATTGGATAATTTGCGCTGTGTGTTGTAATTGAGGTAGCCTCACTGTGTGTGTGGCAGCTACTCTTGTTTTGCTCACCATACTAGCTTAGTGGTTCGCTATGGTGAACACATATGTACATGGGTATAAACAATGTGTGTATACAGTGTAATAACGGAAACAGGAATATGTTGAGAGGAGCTATTTTGGTGAGGGAGGTGACGTCGAAATTGTAGTGTCGTCTGCTGTGTGATTTTTCATGCAGTGTATGGTGGCCACTGTACTGTTTGGACACAATACCGGCTTACTTGCATAGCTCTGGTGAATAAAACATGTAAATAAGTATACATAACATATGTAAATAGTGTAATGAAAACAAAAACAGTATGGTGGGAGGAGGGGTGATGGCGAGTACGATGTTGGAGGAGAGAGGGAGGACTGGCTGGCTGGGTGTGACAGCTCACACTCGCAGAGTTCTGAGTGTGTTTATGGTGTGTGATACTGTACAGTTTGTAAATAGATTGTATATATACATAAATTAGCATGATACATTGGAAATATGTGCCGGATATGTGTACACATGTGTCATGCACGTAACATAGTATCTTCGGACACTACGGATGTTCTACTGCCAAAATATAGTGTACATGTTCATTATACATAGGATTGGCATGTAAAAACAAATAGAATGTATTTGGAACTGCGCAAAATGGCCAAAAATATATTCGTGGCAACGTGCGCATCCTGTCCTGGGCGCCCTACTGGCCCCCGGGAGCGTACGCCACGGGCGAACGGAGAATGATGACGTCGCGCACCAACTTACAGACCCCATAGCAGCCAAAGTAAGTACAATTTCGACTTTCAGTTACTATACCCATACTCAGGGAAGGGTTTTTGACACTTTCAAAACAAAAAAGAATTTTTTCCAGAGAATTTATTTCCTGCACACTAGGGGGGTGCCATATTTGGAAGCCGTGCAGTTGAGGGGTTAAGAAAGTGCACAACAGCCCAAACGTTGATGGTCACACCACAACTGACACCAACAACTGAGGAACGTAAGCATGAGGCCAGAGAATACACCCATCCCGATGAAGATCAAGGCAAACTGGCAAACATTAAACAGCTCAAAGGAGAAGCTCCCAACAATACCTGAAACATGCTTGACACCTCACACCACTCAAGCAAGTGGGTTTGACAAAAACCGTGCTAGGCCTCAAGCGAGAAAGAAGGAGTGTCTGCTAGACAAGACAGCTCTGAAACCTTGTAACACATCCAATAGGGAGAAGCAGATCCAAGTTCGAAGGAGATCGGGTCCATAGGCAAGGCATAAACTAGGACACACAGGAGCTATGTCAAAAATGCCTCACAAGCCTCTGAAGGGAGAACCTCTGGAAGGACACCCCACGGCTTATCCAAAGGAAACCTGGAAGCAAACCTTGGGAAAAGCTGCACTCAATACATACAGGAAGTGGGGATATGAAAACTCCTCCCCAGCAAATGAACACTTTCTGCAGAAGGAGTGAGAACCACAAAGTGTTAAAGGGGAACCATGGGGCAGTTCAGACTCCCCCAATGCCCCAGAAACTACAGTCAAAGGCCCCAGGTCAAAAACCATTGTCCATGCCCACTACCCAAAAAGACAGGTGGAGCCCAGGGAAGAAGATTCAATAGAAGGGGCTGGCTGGGAAGAAGATCCTAAAGCTTTGGCAGGACCAAAAGGCTCAAGTGCCTATGTGCACAAATTAGAAGGGGGGGCAATCCCCGGAGAAGGCCAAGCCACATCTCAAGCCAAACCCTGCCCTGAACCTGAAACCCTCAGATATTTTGGGGTTGAAATCAAGGAAGAAAGAACCAAAGGAAGAACACACAACACCTGACACAGAAAAAAGAGAAGGTGCAGATGGAGCCAACCCTGGAAACACAAACCGAAACTGTCTCTATTTTCCGCTTGTTACAACTTGTAATAAAGCTGTTACATCTTGGCTTAACGTGTTTATGACGTATTAGAACGTTGTTACAACTTGCTATATTGGTTGTTATAACTGGTTAGGAAGTGTTAAAACTTGTTCGAACGTTGTACCAACGTCGTAGTTTCGGTGTGTGTTTGGCGGGCAAGGATGAGTTTTTTTTTTTTTTTTTTTTTTTGAGATATATACAAGAGTTGTTACATTCTTGTACAGCCACTAGTACGCGTAGCGTTTCGGGCAAGTCCTTAACCCTTGCACTGCTCACCTATTTTCGGCAAAAACGTCTTGGTGCAATTGTCAAGGACATATTTTTGTTATTTTTACAAATGTTCAGGTAAATTTAATGTCAAAATGTTTCCAAAGTCAACTATTTACATTTCAAAACACAAATAGTGATGAAAACATTAAAAAACATTAATATATAGCCAAATTAAAAAACAAAATGCACAACTCTCTGAGCGCCTAAAGGCGCTTTGCGCAGTGCAGTGGTTAATCCTAAGGTCCCTGGAATACGATCCCCTGCCGCGAAGAACCGTTTTTTCATCCAAGTACACATTTTACTGTTGCGTTAAACAGAGGCTACAGTTAAGGAATTGCGCCCAGTAAATCCTCCCCGGCCAGGATACGAACCCAACCCGAAAGTTGACCAACATCCCTAAATCCAGGCCCATAAAACCTAGCTGGACAACTTTGGGTCATCCAATTCGGCACACAACCTTGACAACTGTAACACACAAGACCTCACACAAAGAGCAGTCACTATCTGATATGTCTGAGCATCATCAAGAGGGGTGGTAAGGAGAGAATACAATGGGTATATTCCTCGCACGACTTAGGGTCAAAGGTGTTATTGACCCAACAAGCAACATGGAGACGGCAAAATGAATGAACATGGCATTGACAACATGCACCCTCAAAACTCGAGTGAAGCAAAAGTGGGCTCAGGGAAAATATTCATGGCCACCAAGACTGCAGAGAATTACCTAGGCCTGAAGGTTACAATCCAAATAGCGCACCTAGAGACAGGGACACTTTGTCAGTCCTGTTATAAGAGCCACATAAATTAACCCAGCCTACTTAAAATGACTGGGAAAATCTACTTTGGTATACTGAAGCGGATGACACGTAAAACCAGTGCACCCCACCAGCCAAGACACTCCAACCCTGGGAAAATACATAAGACAAAGACACCAGACTTGCCTCAAGGTGAAGGCTACCTCAAGTGAGGCAGACTTCTAAAGGAGCATCTCCCAAACACTCCAGGGAAGAAAACCCTGGCAGTGCAGGGGCAGGGCTAGGGAGTGCACAGAGAAGGAAATCCTCAGCACATGCAGCTCCAAGTGCACTAAACTCCTGGTCCTTGCACACAAATATGCAAGGAACAGCCACCAAGGCAAAAGAACACCCTAGAAAAAACACTGGGGCCAGAGCAACTGTGGCAGACCCAGTACTGGTAAACATCAGAGGAGAACAAATGGTGGAGAAGCCTGCGAGCTGTGGCCAGCCTCTTCCTTTCCCTAAGCATGGGGGATAGTTGGATGAATGAGTAGGTGCTAGATTTCTAAAAAAAAAAAATTATAGTTTGTCTACATAGTTTTGGAAGTTCTATGGCCATTTTCAATTCTGCAGGTCTTGAAGGAAGTCAGATGTGGTTTGTTTTATTATTATTATTTGTTTTGTCTCTCTGACTTTATGGATGCGTTCCTTGGTGGGGGTATAAATTAAAACTTAATGTATAAATGCCACAGCTCCCTGCACCTCTATGAGGGAACCAGGTTCTGGCACTGGGTCCTCAGAAGGCCAGAGAACTCTACGACTGATGGCACCTACATCATAGATAATAGCTTCAGGGAACCACAAGGGGCTCCCCTAGAAATAATAATTTAATTTTAGACCTATTTAATTTAACCCTTACACTGCTCAGGGGTCCTTGGGACATTTACACCCCTGTGCGCAAGAAAAAAAAAATCAAATTTTTTTTTTTTCGTCTTCTAAACATGTTAATTTGTGTCCCCTGAGCACGGAAAAAATAAAAAAAAAATCGTAGGTGACATATTTTGGGCGCAATTGACCGAGGAAGTCTGGCAAAAAGTGGGCGTTGACAGAGCGGTCGTCAGACCCGGTCAGCGTCACCCGCGCTGACAGATGGGAGTTGCCACAAAGATATTATTACCTAATTGTTTCAATGTCTCCGATTGATTTTTTCTTAGTTTTTTTGCAGTAATATTATTCAATAGTGTGTATTGTAATATATTTATATAATAAAAGTGGTTAATAATCGCTATACTCAAAAGTATGATGTGCATATTAGTGATTCAATTATTATGTTTATAAAACAATGAACAAATAGTTTTGCTGCTATTACACTCTATACACAGGTTATATATAAGTATTGGCATGTTTTGGTCACCATAACGAACCACTAAGTTGGTATTGAGAGTCGAAAAGCAACGAGGAGTTACCGCCACACACCAGCCAGCCACTCGCTGCCACTCCCTCAACACACGCACTAAACTTTCTCCCCCAACAATACCATTTGTGGTGTTATTACACTATATACAGACGTTATATATAAGTATGTATATATTTTGTTCACCACAACTGTACAGCTAAGCTGATATAGTTAGTTCAGGCACTAAGAGTCGTCGCTATACACAGATGGCGGCTCCCTCACTCATTCAAGGTCACACTCACTAAACTTTCTCCCCCAACAATACTGTTTGTGGTGTTATTACACTATATACAGACGTTATATATAAGTATGTTTATATTTTGTTCACCACAACTGTACAGCTAAGCTGATATAGTTAGTTCAGGCACTAAGAGTCGTCGCTATACACAGATGGCGGTGGCGGCTCCCTCACTCTTTCAAGGTCACACGCACTAAACTTTCTCCCCCAACAATACCTTTTGCAGTGTTATTACCCTATATACACACATTATATATAAGTATCTACATGTTTTATGCACCGTAACTGTACACCTAAGCTTGTAGTGCGCCCAAAGAGCATAGTGGCCACCCTCTAAACAGCTAGACAAATTGTGCAGACGACGTCACCTCCGTCACCCATATGGCTCCTCCCAGCATAATCCTTTTGCTGTTATTACACTAATACACACATTATATATAAGTATCTACATTTGTGTTCACCATAGAGAACCACTGACCTGGTATGGTGAATGCAAACAATAACAGGTGGCCACAACACAATATAACAGGTGGCCACTTTTGAAGAAAGGGATTGCTTAGAAATTTTTTTAGTGAGTATAATTGGACAACTTGTTGCTGTAAAACAGAACCCAGGTCTATTCTATAAATTCATAAACAACAAATTGCAGGTAAAGGATAATATTCAGAGGTTGATAAATGGGAAATAGATTCACGGAAGATGAAAAGGAAATGTGTGAAACACTAAACGAAAAGTTCCAAAGTGTGTTTGTACAAAATGAAATCTTTAGGGAACCAGATACAATAAGAATTCCAGAGAACAACATAGAACACATAGAGGTGTCTAGAGACGAAGTGGAAAAAATGCTCAAGGAGCTCGGTAAGAACAAAGCAGCTGGCCCAGATGGCGTTTCACCATGGGTTCTGAGAGAATGTGCATCTGAGCTCAGCATTCCACTTCACCTGATCTTTCAGGCATCCCTGTGTACAGGAATCGTAGCAGACGGGTGGAAACAGGCTAACATAGTTCCAATCTACAAAAGTGGCAGCAGGGAAGACCCCCTCAATTATAGACCTGTATCATTGACAAGTGTAATAGTGAAAGTATTGGAAAAACTAATCAAAACTAAATGGGTAGAACACCTAGAGAGAAATGATATAATATCAGACAGACAGTATGGTTTTCGATCTGGAAGATCCTGTGTATCGAATTTACTCAGTTTCTATGATCGAGCCACAGAGATATTACAGGAAAGAGATGGTTGGGTTGACTGCATCTATCTGGACCTAAAAAAGGCTTTCGACAGAGTTCCACATAAGAGGTTGTTCTGGAAACTGGAAAATATTGGAGGGGTGACAGGTAAGCTTCTATCATGGATGAAAAATTTTCTGACTGATAGAAAAATGAGGGCAGTAATCAGAGGCAATGTATCAGAATGGAGAAATGTCACAAGTGGAGTACCACAGGGTTCAGTTCTTGCACCAGTGATGTTTATTGTGTACATAAATGATCTACCAGTTGGTATACAGAATTATATGAACATGTTTGCTGATGATGCTAAGATAATAGGAAGGATAAGAAATTTAGATGACTGTCATGCCCTTCAAGAAGACCTGGACAAAATAAGTATATGGAGCACCACTTGGCAAATGGAATTTAATGTTAATAAATGTCATGTTATGGAATGTGGAATAGGAGAACATAGACCCCACACAACCTATATATTATGTGAGAAATCTTTAAAGAATTCTGATAAAGAAAGAGATCTAGGAGTGGTTCTAGATAGAAAACTATCACCTGAGGACCACATAAAGAATATTGTGCAAGGAGCCTATGCTATGCTTTCTAACTTCAGAATTGCATTTAAATACATGGATGGCGATATACTAAAGAAATTGTTCATGACTTTTGTTAGGCCAAAGCTAGAATATGCAGCTGTTGTGTGGTGCCCATATCTTAAGAAGCACATCAACAAACTGGAAAAGGTGCAAAGACATGCTACTAAGTGGCTCCCAGAACTGAAGGGCAAGAGCTACGAGGAGAGGTTAGAAGCATTAAATATGCCAAAACTAGAAGACAGAAGAAAAAGAGGTGATATGATCACTACATACAAAATAGTTACAGGAATTGATAAAATCGACAGGGAAGACTTCCTGAGACCTGGAATTTCAAGAACAAGAGGTCATAGATTTAAACTAGCTAAACACAGATGCCGAAGAAATATAAGAAAATTCACCTTCGCAAATAGAGTGGTAGACGGTTGGAACAAGTTAAGTGAGAAGGTGGTGGAGGCCAAGACCGTCAGTAGTTTCAAAGCGTTATATGACAAAGAGTGCTGGGAAGACGGGACACCACGAGCGTAGCTCTCATCCTGTAACTACACTTAGGTAATTACACTTAGGTAATTACACAGTTAGTAAACGATGCTGTCTCCCTCCGTCTCTCAGCATCACTCCTCCCACAGCGCTAATTATTACAACAATCCTGCTATTATCACAACCCTGGTTATTTATATCACAGTCATTGGTCATCTGTAATATTGTCATCGCTAAATAATAACAATTATATATTTATTTTGACATTTTTCGGCGATGCTGTGGTCACAAGCTGAACATCAATGCTGTTCGCTCATGCTGCGTGCGCCAGCCTTGGTTGCTCCAACAGTACTGTGCCTCTCACACCTGAGAATATTGCCCACGATTTTTTTTCAAAATGGCATCTGTTTACAAGAGCCCTGAGGAAGCTAATGTGAACCCCGTGTAGCCGCGGGCCATTTGAATCAGGCCTGGCACCCTATGGCGTATATATACGCCATGCGCACCGTGGGACATGTTACTCTGGGCGTATATATACGCCATGCGCAGTTTAAGGGTTAAGCCTTTGTCCCAAACGGGTTGCAGGTGGGTGACTTTAGCCGTTTATACTGGTAATGCTTCCCCCATATCATGTATTATATGCATATGTCTGTTTAGGGAATTTTATTCCGATCAATATACAACCAAAAATAACTGTGTGCAACAAGTATAAACTTGACAAACATAACAAAAGTAAAAACATTTCATGTGTGTTTGACGCTCACTGATATGTTCCAGCGTTGTTTTATATTTGGCGCTATTCTAACTTACGCTGTGTTGATATTTTTTACCTATGGGCACATAGAACATTCTATTGCGAACACATTGACACAAAAATGAATGACGTACATAGAAAATTAATGTCATGAGAGTGAAATAAGTATAAACTTTCAAAGCGCCGTGCGTCGTCCCGTCACCGATACCGGGTAACAATTTCACCACTTCCCACACTCTTGCGGGCGAGCCGCATCATTATTCTACGCTTATATTCATATCACCGTGTTGGGAATTTCATTGCGAGTCCATTTTCTGTGGGGAGCCCCTACGGCTCCCTGGAGCTTATCGGGCTAATGTATGTTATGTTAGACCGGGACATTAGCTAAGGAGTTCAGACCTACCAGGGACCAGCGCCAGAACCTGGCCCCTTCAGAGAGGTTTCAGGGAGCAATGGCCCTGGAAAACCCCATATGGTTGGGGGTTTTCCTTATCTGCCATCGACCGGGGTTAGGCACCCAGAAAGGTAGGCGTAACAAAACAAACCCCACATGGTAAGAAACTACAACAAAAACCGAACAGAGAGGTAGAAAACTCCCTACAATCCCAAGGAAACAAGCAAACAAGCAAACATCACACTTTACTGCCGCGCCGATCGTCCGCGCAGCCCTCCCCACCCCGGGAGGGGGAGGGGGGAGCCCCGGACCTACCGCGCCGGCTGCCAAGCTCCAGTTCGTTCGCTAATGTCAACCGGGATTGACGCTTCTCTGGCCTCAGTTTCCTAGGCGGTGTTTGCCTTGTGTGGCGTTCACTGCCGTGTGTTGTGTTGTGCGGTGGCCAGGAGTACTTCATCAGTGCCGGGGCTGCATGTGCTTAGTGGCTGACTTCCCTAAGCGCCCTGTGAGTACTGCCCTTGCGTAACAGGGTTATCTTCCCTGGGGCGTTCGGGAACCATTCCCGTAGAGGTTCTTGCTGCTCGGCATTTGCCTCGCCCTTGGGGCCAGCTGGGGCTTGGGGCCCTTGTTTGGCCCTGGGTAGGGATTGGTATTGTGCTGGTTAGGGCGTCAAGGTGTTGCGCAGCCTGCCACCTAAGCGGCGGCCGGTTTCTGTTGCCTCTGGAGACGGTGTACTT